TTTGGATTTTCCTTCATTTCGTTTTTTTGGGATTCAGGTCCAAAAGTCCATTAGTTTCGTTATTCGGATTTGTGCAAATCCAAAATGTTTGTTAATTTCAGACGGGTTAGATATTTATGAAGGAATTTTCATTGCAGCCAAGTGATTAGAAAAAAAAAGTTAAATTTTTCTTTTTAACTTTTGACAGTCCACAGAAAAAAAAAAAGCATGGGGGCCCCCCCCCCCCAATTCATGCCAGACTCTTTTGGTCTGGTGGGAATTTTAGGGGGACCCCATTGCCAAAAAAACAAAAGTAGCATGGGGTCCCACGTAAAACCTTTCACCAGACCTATGATCCGAGCAGCAGCCTGGCAGAGCAGGAAATGAGGGGCGGGTGTGTACTATGAATTCGGAGGGGACTCCACACTTTTTTTTATTATTTTAATGTTTAACAACACACGTTCATTACGAATAACATTCGAAAGAAAATTTGGGTGCATTCGAAATTTTTGCTATCAGAAATTCAGATATGCTTGGATTCGTTACTTTGGATGCATCCGAATTTCCCAAAATGCATACTAATTGCAATTCGGAATGAAACAAATCGCACATGTCTAGTCCCAGGGGATGTGGCTATCAGGATTGTCCATAGCTCTGAACTTTATCCGATTTGAAGGGAACCCATCTGTCTCAGGTGTCCCTCCTTTTGGTCTGATCATTAGACTTCTATTATAAATGAACTATTTAAGTTACAAAAGTGTTATACTGCACTAAACCTTTCATCCAGCCTCTAAATGATTTAATTTGTTATTTTGAAGTCTAAAGGAAAAGTAGTAGTGAAAAATCACTTGTGAGTTTACCTATTATTTTTGCACAGAGGTGTGTCCTTTGCTTTCATGCTTTAAAGAAAAAGGTGTCCATCCTTTTCATTTCATAAAGTTGGGAGGTATGGCATTGGCACTGGTGATTCACAAGCTTGTAGCTTATCAATCAGCACCTGGCTACACCTAGTCCTGCCCATTGTTCTCTAGATTGATAGCACAGCCTCTGTTGCTGGAACTTTCTAACCATAAGCTGCAGTGTAAAACACAAATGAAAGAGGATTTGGCTCAGTCAGGGGAGGTAAAAAATAATTTTTGTTTATTTTACGAGGACTGTACATCACATTGTTTAGACCAGTGATGGCAAACCTTTTTGAACCCGAGTGCCTAAAATGGATGGCTAAACCAACGTATGTGCCTCAAAGTGCCAACCCCGCACTTAGACCCGAATACTGATGATTTATTTTAGAAAACCACTTCTTCTGACTGTCTGAACTAATTATGTGCTTAAATCTTATGAGAAAAATACAATACAAGAGGTTTTAACTACACTACAGAGTGACCTGTACATTTGTACTGTGCTAATGAGTGAAGTCTTCCATTGGAGTGTGCTACTAAGGTATGTGTCATGCAGCACACTGCAAGGGAACAGTCTCTCTACAGCTTGGAGTCAGTGTTTGAGCACCAGGGCCCAGTTGCAGCTGTGACCCTGGTAGTTCTGCCACTAACTCCAACCTGTAGAGGAACTAATCTCAGCAATGTATTATATAAGAATGCAGAATACCGCCAACTATAGAGGACTACATATCCCAGCAATACATTATACAGCAATGCAGAATACCGCCAACTGTAGAGGACTACAAATCCCAACAACATTTTACAGCAATGCGGAATACCATCAACTATAGAAGACAACAAATTCCAGAAATACATTATACAGCAATGCAGAATAATATAAGCTACATACTGTATTGCTCTGGGGTGTTGGCCTGATGTCTCCAGGGTCTCTGGAGGGCTGTGTGGGCTGTGTGGGCTCTCAGGGGAGCTGTGCGGGCTCTCAGGGGTGCTGTGCAGAGTTTCAGGTGCGCTGTGCAATTCTCAGATGAGCTGTGCGGCTCTCAGGGGGCTGTGCATCTCTCAGGAGATCTGCGCGGCTCTTGGGGGGCTGTGCAGCTCTCAGGAGGTATATTTTATTTCATAACAAAATATTTTAATGCTCACTGATTTATTCTATAACCATGACACAAACTTCTTTAAACTCTAGATTCTTTAAACTTTTTTTTGAAAAACTACAAGGCTCAGGTGAGGAGACGCTCACTTTATAGGACAGTTTTGTGACTGCATTAGGAAGGTAGGGCTAATTTCATTCTGTAGCAGAAGTTTAGAGGGCAATACAGCTGCACTGCTAAGACAGATTAGCAAATGGGGGTAATAAGATAAGTGGGATCTGTTACCAGTGATGATCTTGAGGTCTGACTTTAGCTCTCCTTTACTGGAAAGGTTACCGTTTATCCTTGCTTAATGGCCTCCCCTCCTGTCTTTAATGGCATGCTTTATTAGTATGAGTCAGCCCATTTCCAGCCGAGTCATTTTCTCCACAGACAGTAATTGTCAGATCTTGTGTCAGGTCTTCACATAGAAAAAAAAATCATATCCTGTGACATTTAGTGAGATTAACTCCAAGCCCATAGTGATACGGGACATCTGAAGCATGTGCAGTATTGCAGAAATGCCCATTCCCAGGAGGGTAAGAGGCTGTTCAGCCATTGGCAGGCCGCACATACTGATCTGAGGTCTGACATTTTAATCACTAATTTGCAGAGCGGGCTTATTTAGCTTTGTGTTTCAGACCTCCATGTATATCTTAAAGCCCAGCTCAGGTTTGATTTTATTTTAATAACAGTTCTTCTGTGCCTCCTGTTCCTTTTCCACTGGAGCTAGAACTTTCTGCTTGCTCCAGTGTTACCCTCTGTGTGCTCCTCCAATCCTGGCTGCCAGTGCTTCCTTGGGCTAAATGATACCCAACATCTTTCAACCCACTTCTAAGAGTCCAAGTTGTTTCATGATGCAACCTGGCCCCACAGAAGCAGGCATCCTGGGCTCACAGAAAAATTCATTCTGGGCCCTACAGGAAAATTAATCCTGGGCTTGCAGAAACATTCATTCTGGGCCCACAGAAGAATGCATCCTGGCCCCACAGAAAAATTAATCCTGGGCCCACAGAAGCATGCATCCTGGGCTCACAGAAAAAATAATTCTGGACCCACAGAAGAATGCATCCTGGGCCCACAGAAAAATTCATTCTGGGCCCAGAAAAAAATTAATCCTGGGCCCACAAAAGAATGCATTCTGGGCCCACATAAACATTTATCATGAGCTCACAGAAAAATGGATCCTGGGCCCACAGAAAAATTCATCCTGGGCCCACAGAAGAATGCATTCTGGGCTCACAGAATAATTTATCATGAGTTCACAATAGAAATTAATCCTGGTCCCACAGAAAAATTCACCCTGGTCCCACAGAAAAATTCACCCTGGTCCCACAGAAAAACTCACCCTGGTCCCACAGAAAAATTCACCCTGGGCCCACAGAAAAATTCACCCTGGGCCCACAGCAAAATTCACCCTGGGCCCACAGAAAAATCCACCCTGGGCCCACAGAAGAATGCATTCTGGGTCCAGAGAAGAATGCATTCTGGGCCCACAGAAAGATTCATCCTGGGCCCACAGAAAAGTTAATTTTGGGCCCACAGAAGAATGCATCCTTGGCTCACAGAAGAATTGTCATGTGCAGCATTGAGGATTAACCACATAACTGCCATCCCCCCAGTTTCATGAATGACGAGGAATTAATTTTAAAAAATGATTGGCTATACCTACCATGCGTATTATTTATATTTATTTGTATTAATTGCATGTCCCAGATCGCCCAGGTCTGCACCAGCCCTAAAATATACATATAAGTTATTATTATACAGGACTTATATAGCGCCAACAGTTTGCGCAGCGCTTTACAATATAAGTAAGACATTACAATCACAATACAAATCAAGACAAGATGGTAAGTCATACAAATGTTTTACAGTAAGGTCTTCACAGTCCAGTTTTATATGGCTTTGTTCAGATACACATAGAGGCACAATGATGGATTATCTATGAATGAGAGTTAGGTTTAATGGATTGCTTTACATTGATATTCAGAACATATCAGCCCCTTGGATTATGGCTGCATTAACCTTTAACAGCTAAGCTTCACTAAAAACCTTCTCAAAAATCCATTTTCATCTCCTCTGTTTTTTTTTTTTATAGGATTCTATCTGGCAGAGACATAAGTCTATGTTACACAGTAAAGTATGTACTTTGGCTTTATATATTAAGAGTTCACTGTTCTCAAAGAAAGTAACACCACTAAATGTTACAATTTATGTCTTCATACTTTTCAGTTTAACTCTCAAAAACATTCCTCAATTATGACTTGAAGTAAAACTCCCAGGGAAAGTTTTTATTAACCTTGTAGTGGGGCTACCCCCTGCAAAAGTAAAAAGTTGATTTAAAAATTGACTGTGCAGTGTGCGGGGTGGAAAATTGTTGGCTGAACGGCAACTGCAGTTACTGTTCGGGTATTCAGGCAGCCGTGGATGATTTCTCCATCCATGCTCTTTAGCATTGGTGGGGGAATCAGTTCATTTTCTCTTGCAGTGGGGCTCGGAGGAACAGGAAAGTGCTTGCCTTCTTCACGTGCAATGGAAAGCAGACACCATACAAATCAGTACAAGACCTTCTCAAGGAATGGTATGTGCACGTCATTCCTCCACTAGATCAATCTGATTGAAAACACAGCAGCAGAGCTCTTGCATCCAGATGTAGACCTCCTGCCTACTGACTTATAATATGGTGAGAAGGAGAAGAAGGATTGCTTATCAACACTGGAGCAAAAACGCACACGTATGTATGTACTTGGCAGTTATAGACATGGAGAACCAATTTTTTTTTTTTTACAAAAAGTATTATAGTCTTTAGAAGCTCTGCGATCACTTGTCTGCAGGAGACTCCAGATCTTCAAGCTACCATTAGTGCTAGTGGCACTGGTGTCTGGATGGCAAGGGAGCTATTTAATTGATTATTTTAGAATGATTACTTGGACAAAATAACACGTTTGTTAGTATTCAATGACTTAATTATATATATTTTTCCTTTTAGGACCTTTTGTCTGTAAGATGGTTCCTTTTATTCAAACGACAGCGGTTGTGGCCAGCACATTAACAATGACCTGCATTGCAGTGGAAAGGTACCAAGGAATAGTCCATCCACTGAAAATGAAGAGGCAGTATACCAACAGGAGGGCCTACAAAATGCTTGGTAAGAATATGGTAATATCATAGTTACATAGTTACATAGTATTTGAGGTTGAATAAAGACATTAGTCCATCAAGTCCAACCTATTAGGATCTCATTCTAGGAGTACCTGTACCCCTGTATATTACGGTCCCTTAAGAAATCGTCCAAAAGTTTCTTGAACAATTCCACATTATTTGCTGAAATCACCGCCTGTGGCAGTGAGTTCCAGACCCCAACTGATCTTACTGTGAAGAACCCCCTTTGCCCCTTGTGCTGGAATTTTTTTTCCACCAATTTTAGGTGGTGGCCTCTAGTTTTTGTAATGGAGTTAATTTTAAACAGTTTATCGCTAATGTTGCTGCCACCATTGAACATTTTGTACATGGAGATCATATCCCCCCTTAATCTCCTCACCTCCAATGTGAACATGTTTAAATTTAGTAGCCTTGTCTCGTAGCTCTGGTCCTCCATACCCCTAATTAGTTTGGTTGCCCTCCGCTGGACTTTTTCCAACTCAAGGACATCTTTTCTTAGTACTGGTGACCAGAACTGGACCGCGTACTCCAGATGAGGTCGAACCAATGATCTATAAAGTGGCAAAATTATAGACTTGTCCCTGCAATACATCCCCTTTTTAATACAGGACAAGACCCTGCTAGCTTTGTTTACAGCAGCCTGGCACTGCAAACTACCTTTC